TTCTGCTGCTGCTGCCGCTGCTGCTGCAGCAGCAGCTGTTGCTGCTGCTGCTGCTACTGCGTCTCCGTGCCCTTGTGTTCCTTGCTGTTCCACAGCCCCACCAAACACCACTGTGTCTGCTGCTGCTGCTGCTGCTGATGCCGCTGCTGCTGCTGCTGCTGCTGCTGCTGCAGGTCGACTACTCTGCTACCCCTGCAGATCTGCAGGAGCACTTTAAGGGCTGCGGCCCCATCAACAGAATTACCATTATGGTGGACAAGTTCACGGGGCACCCTAAGGGTTTGCTGCTGCTGCTGCTGCTGTTGCTGCTGCTGCTGCTGTTGCTGCTGCTGCTGTTGCTGTTGCTGATGCTACGGTTTGTTTTGCTGGTACTGCTTGTTGTGGCTGCGGTTGCTGATGGTTCTGCTGCTGCTTCTTGCTGCTGCTGCTGTTGCTGCTTGTCGGTGCTTTGCTGCTGCTGTCTTCGTTGCTGCAGTGCTGCACCTGCTGCTGCTGCTGCTGCTGCTGCTGCTGCAGGATATGCGTACATAGAGTTTGGCTCGGAGATCGCAGCGCAGCACGCGGTGCTGCTGTCCGACTCAACTTTGAAGGACCGACAGATCAAAGTAGGGTTTAGGGTTTAGGGTTTAGGGTTTGGGGGCTAGGGTTTGGGGGTTAGGGTTTGGGGGCTAGGGTTTCGGATTTAGGGTTTAGGGTGGCTCAATGCACGTCATACTGAACGCGTTTCCATAGAGCTGGTGGCAGTGCATATGGTTCCTGAGGGTTTAGGGTTTAGGGTTTAGGTTTTAGGGTTTAGGGTTTAGGGTTTGCGTTTAGGTCGTGTCCAAGCGCAAGAACATCCCCGGGATGTCGAGGGGCAGAGGCGGCGGCTGGAGGCCGCGGGGGGCAGTGCCTTTCCGGGGGCGGTAAACCCTAAACCCTAAACCCTAAACCCTAAACCCTAAACCCTAAGATGTGGAGTGCAAGCTGGAGGGCTCGTCTTGTGCGTTTGCTGGCCCAGGTCGCAACTGGCCCGCTCGCCGCAAGGGTTTAGGTCTAGGCTTTGAAGAAGGGGGTTAGGGTTTAGGGTCTAGGGTTTAGAATTTAGGGTTTAGGGTTTAGGGTTTGGTTGCGCTGCTGCAGGGGCAGAGGCGGTGGCAGCTTCAGGCCAACTTACAGAGGGCGTGGGGGTGCAGCTCGCGGCTACGGCCGGCCGTACTAAACCCTAAAGCCTAAACCCTAAATTAGGGTTTGTGCCCTTCAGGGGGGAATTAGGGCTTGGTATTCAAACCAACCACTGTGAGTGCAGCCTTCTCAGCTTCGAGTTTTCTTCAATGGAAATGCAGCAGCAGTAGCAGCAGCAGCAGCAGTTACTGCAGCAGCTGCTGCAGCTGCTGCTGCCACAACACCAGGAATTGCTGCAGCATCACCTGCTGTTACTGTAGCAGTATTAGCAGCAGCTGCTGCAGCGACAGTGGCAGTTGCTGCAGCAGCAGTAGCAGCAGCATTTGCTGCAGCAGCAGTAGCAGCAGCATTTGCTGCAGCAGCAGTAGCAGCAGCAGTTGACGCCGCAGCTTCAGGATTTGCTGCAGCAGCAACGTTTGCAGCAGAAGAAACAGTAGGTGTTGCAGCAGCAACAGTTGCTGCTGCAGTGGCAGCAGTTGCTGCTGCAGCTACAGCAGCAGCTG